TCTGCGGACGCCATCAGATTTATTTGACTGGACTGCAAAAATCGAACGTTCGAACAACCAAAATTGTGATAAATAACAATGAAAAGGAGCGACCAACAGTGAAGATCAGAGTTAGCTGAGAGAAATTATAACAAGTAACAAGTTTCTCCTATCTTGGACAGAAGCGAAACAGAAATGAAAAAAAAAATATAAAGAGAAAGAGAGAGAGAGAGAGAGAGAGAGAGAGAGAGAGAGAGAGAGAGAGAGAGAGAGAGAGAGAGAGAGACAGAGAGAGGGGGAGAATAGGAATGATGGTCTTCAATAAGATGCGAAAGTTATTGACATCTAGAGAGAAAAACAACACATTAAAAGAGAGAATTGTCAAGAGTTACGAAAACTCAACTCTGCCGTGTGGTGCAGAAACCTGGACAATGAACACGCTACTATACAATCGAATAGACTCCCCGAAAATATGGGCATAAAGAAGAATCGGCCGTATTTCATGGGAACAAAGTGCAGACACATATAGAGGATCTGGGAAGATTACGAATGGAAATAAAATTACTGAAAGAGATTAAACAAAAACAAAAACAGAGATACAATTAAAATATTTTGGCCTTATTAAAAGACATAATCCTCTTTTAAAAACATATTGAGGAAAAGGTCGATGGCAAGAAAGCAAGAGGTAGACAAGGAAATAAGTGGGAAGTCAACATCAAAAGTTGGACAAACAGCAGTCTTAGAGACAGATTGATAAAATTCCTGCTCCAATATTGAGGACAGAAACAGGTGCATTATTAATATCCTACCCCAAACAGGGGAAATCCAGAGTTCTCGGGACGGTCTAAAATTTCAGGGGGTGGTAAACAGACTGCATGCATCCGTGGGACCTAAGCTGCACCCTTTCGTGGGATGTAGGTGGGTTGGGGTTAGGGCCAGTTATATATATTTTGGGGTCGTTAAAAGCATCAGAAAGCAGGGAAACCCAGTCTTACCATCTCTGTTAGACTGTCATTTGACGTCATCTGGAATAGTATATTAATAAAGAACCCAGAAATATTACATTGTACAACTGATTGCCTGGCTTCTGTCGCCGAGTGGAATATTTGACTGCAAGTACAGTTTTGGGAGCTGTCGTGATGTAGCAACTGGCCGCTTGCCTGCGAATCCGAAGGTCCTGGGTTCGAGTCCAAACGAAGCCGGATATTTTTTTCAAAAATGAATGTGGCTTCTAAGTCGACCAAGCCTTAAATGAGTACCAGGTAAAAGTTCAGGGAAATCAAAGCGACTAGCTTGGTGCTGACCACATCCCCCTAGAGGTAGCAAGTGTATAAAATATAGGTCTAGTGCTTTATACTGAGTACGTCTTGGAAGAGGCATATTTACTTTACTAGTCCAGTTTTCAATGTGCCATTACAAATGTTTACTTTTGGGAGCGAGTGAACAGTGCGGAGGCGCAGGTAGATCATAACGGTCTGAGGAGAATGGCGCTGCGAGGAGTTACCACCAGGGGATTTGGCCGACGCTCAAAACTGAGGGGAAGGATGAGACGAATATAAAATCAGACGGTTATTCGGACCATCTGAATTGGAGCTTTTCGCTTGCTGCTGAGGATGGGGACTGAGCACATATGGGAGTGTTTCCAGTGCTGTTATGTCGTTTCTTGATTCAATATTCAACAATCTGGGTGTAACCAGAGGGTCTAACCGGCTCACTACACTCAAAGGAAAGTCAGGACGGATATATAACCAGATTGTGACCGGTACCATCAGTATTGGAACTCTTTGCTGGCTGCTGAAGGTGAGGACGAAGTACGCATGGGAATCCCCCAAGTGCTTTGATGTCAATTCTGGACTCAACTCGACGCAACTCAACATTCAACATTCATATGGTAACCTCCTGCTCCACTTTTGACCTACACTTTCATTTGATTTTAATGTGAACAGACAATGTGCACATTTTAACCCAAATTTAGCCTGAAAACCAAGCAGAAAATTTGCTGTCTCAATGCCTCCAAAAAAGTCTGCGGTTTAGTTTTGTGCATTTAATTTTAATGCGCGTCTTGTAATTTTTCGACTTGACGACAGCGCCCCTGAGAATTCATTCTTAATTCGGCTGAGCATTTTATTTTTTGTGTGAATTTTAATTCCCCAGTATCGTCTTTATATTAAATGTCGTCTGCTTTAAATATTTATTGTTTTCTGTCACGAGTCTTCATGGTGCCCTCCGGCTTGCTATTCCCAGCCAGTCCCTCGATGTTGTTGGCTCTGATGAAAGGTTGCCTATCCCCTGCACGTTTGTCTTGTGTTTGTCTCTACAGGGTGTTCTGTGATTCTGAAAATACCATGGGCCATGGCGGCCCCATCCCCTCACCCCCCCCCCCCCCCCCCAAATAGACATTATAAAAAGATCTTAACATCCAAGAAAAGTGGTTTACAAACAGCACATTGACTCATCAAACTGAAATACCTTGGCCATATCAAATGTTGGGCTTGGAAAGGACAGAAGTGAAGAGTTTAGGCACAGAAACCTACTTGAACTTCCCTCGGGGCCTTCCTGGCGTCTTGAATAAAAGTTCACTTTTGAACCGTCTTTATCTTCGTGTGACTTGGGCAGATTCACTGGTTAATTTGTTTAGGATGTGATGTCTTTTAAAATGATGAAAGCTCTTCGTAGGCTGGTGGAAAAGGTGACAGAACTCTGTGTCGCAGTGTCATGGATTTAAATGATGGAAATTACTTAAATAAAAGGGAAACAAATTTTTGGGGTTTTTTTTAAAAAACTTTTGGGATTTTTGTGTGTTTTTCATAATAAATTTCAATTTTCTCACATTATGTGATGAAAATTTAATTTCAATTTTTTTAAAACCTTTCCGAAGGGGGAAGGGTTTTAAGTGAGCACTCATGGCTGACCCATTTTCATTCGTGTGAAGTAAAATTTTCTTTGAAGCCGGGACTCAAGGGGGGAAATAAAATAAAAAGAGGGAGCTGTTTTTGCCCTGAAGACGCTACCAATCAAGGGGGAAACTAGTCACATTTCCCAACCCAAATTTTAGAAGTTTTTAAAATGGCCCCCGGGGAAAAGGCCCCCAGGCAGGGTAGAATTTTTTTTTGCGGGTCATCAAGAGTGGGAAAATTTTTTAAAAACACACACACATTAAACAGCTGTTAACACTTGCTGGGGTTTAAAAATATCAGGCCCACTTCTTTCCCGATATGAGATGTGTGCAAGCCGGGGGGATGAATGTTATAAACTTTAGGTGAAAAAAGGGGAAATTTTAAAAAGCCATGACCCTGTTTTTTAGGGTGAGCACACCATGAAGGGAAAAGGAATAAAGGAAGAAACGACCCGCAGAACGGAAAGAAACGCGAATGTCCCCGAGAAGAAACACCCTTAAAAACAAAGTTGACAACAACGGGCCGGAAAACCCAAGTGGAAGAATTTTCCTTTAAAGCCCATTTGGGGTTTAAAAGCCACACTTTTCCCTTGCCCCCAGGCTGTGAGTTCATGCCTCGTTTTAGTAAAAATAAACACTTTTCGTCGGAAAAAGGGAAAAAATCTTGTCAGTCAGGTCAGTAGTGGCCCCTTTGCGCACCCCGTTTTTATGCTCCGTGGGCAGCCTGTGGGGCCCCAAATTTAAAACCCCAAACCCGGGCC